CAGATGTGTTTTCTCCTGATCTGCCTGGTCTCCCTCCTGATCGTGACATTGACTTTCCTATTGAAGTAGAGCCGGGCACTAAGCCCATTTCTATACCACCGTACCGTATGGCCCCCGTAGAGCTCAAGGAGCTCAGTGTTCAGATTCAGGATCTCTTAGATAAGGGATTCATTCGGCCTAGTGTATCGCCTTGGGGTGCCCCAGTCCTCTTCGTGAAGAAGAAGGATGGTACACTGCGATTGTGCATCGACTACAGGGAACAAGGTGACGGTGAAGAACCGTTTCCCCATGCCTAGGATTGATTATCTATTTGACCAACTTCAGGGTGCCGTGGTATTTTCTAAGATTGATTTAAGATCCGGCTATCACCAGTTGAGGATTAGGGCAGCGGACGTCCCTAAAACTGCATTTAGGACTCGTTACGGCCACTATGAGTTCGTAGTGATGTCCTTTGGGTTGACTAACCCCCTGCCACGTTCATGGACTTGATGACTAGGGTGTTTAGGTCGTACTTGGATTCGTTTGTCATAGTCTTCATAGATGACATTCTAGTATACTCGCGTAGCCGGGAGGAACATGAGCAGCATTTGAGGATAGTGCTCCAGACTTTGAGAGGCCAGCGACTTTTTGCCAAGTTCTCAAAGTGCGAGTTTTTGCTTGAGTCCGTAGCATTCTTGGGTCACGTGGTATCTAAGGTTGGCATTATGGTAGATCCCGCTAAGATTGAGTCCATTCGTGATTGGGCCAGGCCCACCTCTATGACTGAGATTCGTAGCTTCGTCAGATTGGCAGGCTACTACAGGTGTTTTGTTGAGGGATTTTCTTCTATTGCAGCGCCTTTGATTCGGATGACTCGCCAGGATGTTCCGTTTGTGTGGTTGGAGGTGTGTGAGAGGAGCTTTCTGAGGCTTAAGGAGTTGCTTACCACCACTCCTATATTGACTCTTCCAGTTGAGGGTGAGGGGTTTACTGTTTATTGTGACGCATCCGGCATTGGTTTGGGTTGTGTACTGATGCAGCAGGGCCGCGTTTTTTCTTATGCGTCGAGGAAGCTTAAGCCACACGAGCGCAACTACCCCACTCATGACTTAGAGTTCGTGGCGGTAGTTTTTGCCCTTAAGATTTGGAGGCATTACCTGTATAGAGTTCGATGCGAGATCTATACTGATCACAAGAGCCTTCAGTACATTATGAGCCACAGGGATCTTAATTCGAGACAGCGGCATTGGATTGAGCTCCTGAAGGGCTATGACCTCTCTATTCTCTACCATCTGGGCAAGGCGAATGTACTAGCAGACGCCTTGAGTCGGAAGGCAGTGAGTATGGGTAGTCTAGCCTTTCTTTCTACTACGGAGCGACCATTAGCTTTGGACATCCAGTCCTTAGCTAACTGGATGATACGGCTTGATATCTCTGATTCCCGGTGTGTACTAGCTTATGTGGATGCTCAGTCATCTCTGCTGGATCGCATTCGTAGCCGTCAGTTTGAGGATGAGGACGTAGTAGCACTTCGAGATCGAGTTTTGAGAGGTGACACCGGCCTAGCTACCTTAGATTTAGATGGGGTTTTACGATTTGGTGATCGACTTTGTGTTCCAAGAGTTGGGGGTTTGATTCAGATGATTCTTACCGAGGCCCATGAGTCCAAATATTCTATTCATCCGGGCACAGCTAAGATGTATCGAGACTTGAGACAGCACTACTGGTGGAGCGGCATGAAGAGAGATATTGCGGATTATGTATCGCGTTGCTTGAGTTGTCAGCAGGTTAAGGCCGAGCATTTTAGGACTGTTGACGAGCTTCAGAGATTCCCCATTCCTGAGTGGAAATGGGAGAGGATCACCATGGACTTCGTTGTAGGATTATCCCGCACTTGCCATGGTCTTGATAGTATTTGGGTCATCGTGGATCGATTTACCAAGTCAACACACTTCATTCCTGTCCATACTTCCTACAGTGCTGAGAGGTTAGCCCGTATCTACATTCGAGAGGTGGGTCGTCTTCATGGTGTGCCTGTTTCCATCATCTCAGACCGGGGACCACAGTTCACATCTAGCTTCTGGAGGACCTTCCAGGATGAGTTGGGTACCCGTGTTGACCTTAGTACAGCTTTCCACCCGCAGACTGATGGTCAGTGCGAGCGCACGACTCAGGTTCTTAAGGACATGTTGCGGGCTTGTGTTTAAGGATTTTGGGGGTCAGTGGGACCATTATTTTCCTTTGGTAGAGTTTGCGTACAACAATAGCTACCACTCGAATATTCAGATGGCCCCATTCGAGGCCTTATATGGTAGGCATTGTCGCTCTCCAGTTGGTTGGTTTGAGTATACAAAGCCCAGGCCGCACGATACAGACTTGATGCGAGAGGCTTTAGATCATGTGAGGGTGATTCAAGATAGTCTCAGGACAGCCCAGAGTAGACATCAGAGTTATGCGGACCGTAAGCGTCGACTGTTGAAATTTGTTGTTGGTGAGAG